TTGTACTAGTTGTGGCAGGTCTCATCAACTGAAAGTATATCATTATTATTAACATTTATAATTTCATCGAATAACATTAAATAAGATTTTACAAATCTTAAAACAAAATGTAGAAAACCTTTATGAGCTAACGCAGTAAACGTGCATTAGTTGTTGTAATTGAACAATATATAATTAATACATATAAAAAAATTTTATCGTTTACGTTTTGAACGACTCGATTTAAATGCGCGTTAAAAATGATACTTTGAAAAATAACTCTATCATACATGGCTGAATTTGTCTTAAAATAATCTTTCTTTTTATTATAAAAAGAAATTGAAATAAAAAAAAAGTCAAGTGGTAGGGATACACAAATGAAAAATTAAAAAAAATTTTTTTCTTTTTTTTATTATAAAGTACTCTTGAAATTATGCAATTTTCATTTTAAACATTTTTTTTTATTTCTTACAGTTTCGACGATATTCGCTTCGAAAGAAAGAAACCGATTTTTTTCGAAGAGGTGTTTGACCCCTTAAAAAGTGAAAATGATCATGTAAAAAAATACCTGTCGTTTATTTTTGTTTGGAGAATAACATACTAAAAGCTTATTAAAATTAGAGGGGGACAGTTGAGTTCTTTCTTTGTTAATATTATTTGCAAAAAAGATCTCTAACTAAAACATTTAAAAAATTATAAAACTTTGATGAACTTAGAAGATATACTGATATAATAAACTATTTTTTGCTGCCCAAATTCATTCTGAGTGAATAAAATCGATTCCTGAAAATTGGCTTATTTTTGTTTTTATTTGATTGTTTAAATAAAAGAAAGTAGAACAGAGTTCTTTATTTTGAACACTCTTTTGAAAAAACAAGTTTTATAATTATTAGGAATAATTTCAGATAAATTAACCTTCCGCAAACAAGGTGCAAAATCAACATCACACATATTGTATATATCTCATATCTCATGTTATATTTCATCATAAATATATAATTCAGTATAATTGTTACAATACATTTTCCAGTTGCTTAAAACCGACAACATGCGCGCGATACTTTTTAAGAAGTTACAGAAATTCATCTTGCTGGTGTGTCACACCCCACCTGGTTCACGGAGGGTTAAATAAGTGTTTTAAATAATAGTTTTATTATTCATTTTATGAAAAGATGACGAGCGTTCTAGCAATTGCAGTATAATATCATAAAATGTGTGTTGTATATTTGATGTTAGCTATATACATGATGTTATTTATGCGTAATGTATACGTGTAACGTATACATGTCGTTGGATACGAGGTATTGATAACGAGCAGTCAGTTGCTTTACCGTCTAATTCATTCGTAAGTGGAGAAATTGCATATCGTCTGAAAAATTTGTCTGAAGTATATCTTTCGGTGATATTTTCTAATCATTGAAGATAACATGTCAATCGACATTGTAAAATAGTTACAGTATATATTGAAGATCATGTGTCATAGAAAACAAAATGAAAATCGATGCATGATTTTAATCAGTAAAACAACTGATGGTGCTCGTTATCAATGTTTTTTTATCCAAGGAGATATGACGTCATACGCATATTGTTAAGTATATATGGTCTTTGACCATATATATTTTTAAGTATATATGATTGTTGAGTACCCAATGAGGCACACAATTATGTTGAAAAATAGAAGTCTTTATTATACTTGGTATTTCATAAATATGTGTCAATATTTTAGGAGGTAAATCTATACATTAAAATAAATAAAAAAAAAATGAATATATATCTTACATATCTTAGATTTCAAGTTATACATGATTAAGGAAAATGTTCAAAATGTCCGTCTTGTGCGTTATATCAACACATGCCATTGTACAGCTTAGCACATCCTACTTAATTTACAAACAATATCAAAACAAATCGGATAGAATTTCAGGCAGTCCTGGCTATCAAGTAAAACTTATGACTCATGCACGATGGTGCGCCTCCTCATTTCCATCTTGAAGTGAGAATATTCCTAAACAACGTCTTCACAAACTGATGAATAGGGCGAGGACCACCCCATAGCCACCACTATCTCTTGATCTCAATCCATTAGATTTTTATTTTTTAAGACCATTTAAAATCTATTGTGTATTCAACGCCAGTAAACAATGTGGATGATCTGCAAGAAAAGATACGAAATGGATTCAAGACTATTCGAAGAATACCTGATATTTTTGAACAAGTGTTGAACTCAATGCTAAGACGTACAGTAGCATGTGACGCACAAGGCGGATATTTCGAACATTTTCTTAATCATCCATAACTTGAAAACCGAGGTATGTAGGACACATATATTTATATGACGTTTTTTATTTTAGGATTATATTGGGTCATCTAAAAAGTATCCGCGGTTTTTTGTCACTAGATGTGTTGACCATCAATACCATCTATATCAATATAGATTTATCTCTTAAAGTATTAATATTAAAGTATTAATACTTTAATATATAGATTTATCTCTTAAAGTATCTATAGATTTATCTCTTAAAGTATTAACATGAATTTATGAAACATCTTGTATTTAGAGTGTTTTATAAATGCATGTTAATACTTTACTAATTCTTCTAAGACTTCACATTAAATGTTTATTCTCCGTGAAAACAGAACAAATAAAATAGAGATCAAGGACTCGGACCGAAATGAAATTCCCAGTTATATGGTCAGAAGCTGTATCCAATTTTCGATTTTAGTTCCGGTTCCAATTCTTTTTACTGATAACGATTTCGATCCTTTTTAGTCTTTTTCGTTCTGGACCAAAAAAGTTCAAAATTCAAACGGTTTCAATACTGAGTTTATGAAATTAAAAAACTTAAAAAGAACTATTTATATTGATCTGCAAATGACGTGTATATGAATGCTGGGCGAAGACTCGGAATGGTAAACCAAGCAATAATCTAGCAGTAGGTGTTCGATCTTACAAGAGATGGCAATATATTAGATAGATGAATGCGTTTGAGTGAGATATAACAAATATACGAAATGAACAAAATGTCTCTATTATCGAATTTGGAATTAAAAAAGCACTAGTGACCTCGATCAAATTCGCTCCGGCATCCCCTTAAAGGTGTATAAAAATTATAGTGTGACTTACAAAAGTTTAATACTGACTATAGTTCAACTTATAATATTAAGTTGGCGGAAAAGTTCTGCGGGTTTTTAGTATAAAATTTAAACAAAAATATCGATATTTATAACAATTTATTCAATCAACAATGTGTTGATTGTCTTGATATACAACTTATTGCTAACACTATTGCCTACGATATTTCATATTTAACATATAAAAAATTCTGAGAGCAGATGTACATTTTGGAACAAAGAAGTGTTCCAATTCGTATAAAAAAGTTATAAAATTATATAGAAATTCTGAAAAATTATATGAAAAATTCTGAGAAAAATTTTCACTAGGGAAGACAAAAACGAAAACTGGATCAATAACTCACAGGATTTTATCCCTCTAGGATGACAGAATTTTAGCATGATGTTGGCTACATATCGTGTGTATGACATATTGAAATTAATATTTTTTTCTAGCTACTGTGAAGCTAAAAATTCATTTTTATTTTTATTATGTTTTATTTTTACTTTTATTTTTTATTTTGACATGTGTTCACGCAGAATTAATTTTTTTCCATCTTTACGTGTATTTTTTTTTTATTTATTTGTGTTTCACAGTCCGTCTCCATTTTATTGTATCTGAGTTCTGTTTTTAGGAGAATATCTAATGTAAAGTTCTCTATATTTGAGATTTTATATATATATATATATATATACAGGGTGTTCAAAAAGTCCCGGACCGGGTGAATAACTTGAAAAAAAAAATTTTTTTTGAAAAAACGCCGAAACACGTGAAACGATTTTTCAAAAAATCTATCTTTTGAGAGGGGTTGCGACCCCCCGCCCCCAATGGGGCACGTGGGGCACGAGGGGGGTCGAAAATCTTAAATAGCAACATAGGTCAAGTGGGGGCTCATTTGAAAGGTCTTTTCGAGACGAATCCAAAACACTGCGCATAGAGGGCGCTGCGATCATTTTCGGCGGAGTTATTTGATTTTTGATGTGCGTGTTCTCTGAGGAGCCATGTTATCTTAAATGTAGGAAAAATCCACGACGTTGAAGGAAAAAGAAAATAACCACAAAAACAGCAATAAAGACGCTTGATTTCAAAATTACAGAGATGAACTACGACAAAACAGCTTTATTAGGGAAGAAAGTTACATAAAGTGTAAAATAATAATGACTCTATGATTTGAACTTTTGACTTCAAGTGTCTTTATCGGCATTCAAAAACGCGACCATTGATGTACATGTGCAACAAATACGGTGTGTTTCATGTGCAAAAAGTCCTGCGTAGTGTTTTGGATTCGTCTCGAAAAGACTTTTAAAATGAGCCCCCACTTGATCTATGTTGCTATTTAAGATTTTCGACCCTCCTCGTACCCCACGTGCCCCATTGGGGGCGGGGGGTCGTAACCCCTCTCAAAAGATAAGTTTTTTGAAAAATCGTTTCACGTGTTCCGGTGATTATCGAAACACTAAATTTTTTTAATGTTTCTGAGTCAAAAATCTTCAAAATTGAAATTTCCTTCCAAAAGTGAACGCAGCGCCCTCTATGTGTAGTGTTTTGGATTCGCCTCGAAAAGACCTTTCAAATGAGCCCCCACTTGACCTATGTTGCTATTTAATATTTTCGACCCCCCTCGTGCCACACGTCCCC